ACGACTTCATATTACAGACGAGAAGACAAACCGTTTCTCCGACAGATCGGCCTTGTTGCCAACGAGTACAATAATGACATCGTTCCCCCGTTCTGACCGAACGTCGTCTATCCATTTTGACGTTGAAAGGAAGGATTGTCGATCTTTCCACCATTGAGCACCTGTCACACTTTTGTGAATTGAACTCACTCACTAGTGATATCATACACGACTATAGCTACGGACGAATCTCGGATGTACGATGGTATTAGTGAACGGAAGCGCTCCTGAAGCGATACAGATCAGCCAACAACTACCAACACAACCAACTACCGCACGTCACACGCACCTGTCCGGCAGTGTCCCACAATTGTAACCGCACCGTCCGGTCCTCCAGGTACATAGTCTTGCTCAGGAAGTCAATACCGATGGTGGCCTGGTAGGTGTTGTCAAACGTATCGTACATGAATCTACGCCTATGTCAAGATATGCAACGGGCCCAGAATCCACCCCAACTGACCTGGTGATGAGACTGGTCTTCCCGACGCTCTGGTCGCCAAGAAGGACAATCTTGGTGCGTTTCGGGGGCGTCGAGGAGAAGTCGGCGGTTGCAGGTGTTGATGGAGCGTCCATTTGTGGAGTACAATCTTGGCCTTATGCCTAAACCGTGTACAACAGTGATAAAACAAGGCGATTGGTTTGCCGAGTGCCTGCTAAAGACCTCTGAATGTGAAAGTCGGTTCCGTTGAGCTCTGTCATGGCAGTGTGTTTATCCGTGTTTGCTCTGTTATTACTGCCAGTTGTATGTAATCCACGTGATATTCTGCACAGAAATCTTCTGAATCACTGCCATCAACCTCGAGACCCTGCAACCAACCCAACCTGATTTTGAATAGGACATGCAATGAAACTTTCAGATAAGATCGCGGCATACAACTCGTCGCGTCCTTTCTACACCTTTGAGTTCTTTCCTCCTCGGACTGACCAGGTTCGTGTGTAATGTTTCCTTATTATTCTCATCCTTCAAAATCTATATCAGGGGTTCGAGAATTTAATTCCACGTATATCACGCCTGTCAACTCTAAATCCCCTTGCCATAAGTGTAACATGGGGAGCTGGGGGTTCGACGAGAGAACGAAGCATTGATCTTGCAGGTCTGACCCAATCAGATTATGGAATCGACACCGTTTTGCACTTGACATGCACAAATATGCTCCCAGGGATGGTGGATGATGCTCTCAGGGTGAGTTTCTTCCCACGAATCTCCAGACTGCGGTGAACACCGCCTTAACAGGCTGCAAAAGTGCGGGGTATACAGAATGTGCTCGCGCTACGTGGTGGTGAGCACCGTGATTCTCGTTGGAGACGTTGTTCGTGTTACTGATATTTTTACGTAAGATCCATCTCGAGGAACCGAACATTGGACACCCGTCGACTCTCAATTTACTCGCGGAATTGATCTTGTGAAGTACATCCGTTCATCCCCGGAGTTTTCCTCCCACTTTTGTATTGGCGTTGCAGGTAGGGGCCCTTAGCTTTGAACTCCTTATGTGACTGACATACGTGTAATAATAGCCTACCCAGAAGGTCACCCGGACCGCGAGACTGACGAAGACGGTAGCTTGAATGTCCTGAAAGAGAAGGTTGATGCTGGAGCAGATTTCATCGTCACGCAACTATTCTACGACGCAGACCCGTTTCTTGAATGGGTTGACAAAGTTAGAGCAAAAGGTTAGCAGCAACTCACGGTATCGGCCACGTCCTTCTTATTGGATTGCAGGTATCACTGTACCCATCATACCCGGTGTCATGCCTATCCAAACGTATTCTTCCTTTTTGCGCTTGATCAAGCTATGCGGAGTCAAGGTTCCCCCATCCGTCATGGCTGCTTTGGAGCCTATATGTGTAAGTACTCCAATCATATGTCATTGCCCTTCTAATCAGAGGACAGCATGATGACCAGCTTGTCAAGGACTATGGTGTAGGCCTTGCTGTTGATATCATTCGGAAGATTACCTCCACAGGAACAATCAAGGGAATTCACTTTTGCACTCTAAACCTGGAGAAGAGTGTCCAACTTGTGATAGAGAAACTGCAGTGGGCAGGCAGCAGCCCAACAATGAAGAATAGATTGATCGCTGCAAGTCTCGTTAATCTATGGTTGAAGTCAAGTCGCTGATTGTAACTCAGGATGCTCCAGGGCCAATGATTCATGTGCAGCTCACTAACTCTTCCGATTTGGTCATCGATCCCACCACAGCAACAAACACAGCAACAAGTGCGCTGACATTTAAACAAACTTTGGACCCAGATCCCGGCCGAGGGGAGCTGAATAATGCGGCAACATGGGACGATTTCCCGAACGGTCGTTTTGGTGACTACAAGAGTCCCGCGTTCGGTGCTCAAGATCAGTGGGGTGGTAGTGGCCTGTCTGTGCGAATTGTCTTTCTGCCCTGCCCAACCACCGTGCTGACAGATTTTTGCAGCAGTATGAAGGTCTTAGTGAATGGGGCCATCCCAAAAGTACTGATGACCTTACTTCGCTCGTTTTGCGCTACCTTCATTCTGAGGTGTCCTCGTCCCCATTTTCTTCCTTACCACTTTCTCCAGAGTCGCTGACTATCCTGCCGCACCTCGAGCAGCTCACGAAGCGCGGGTGGTGGACGATTTCTTCGCAACCCGCAGTAGACGGAGCGTGCTCTACTGATGAAGTTTTCGGGTGGGGTCCGAGAGGTGGGTATGTTTATCAAAAAGGTTTCGTGGAGTTTTTCGTGGCAGAGCAAGATCTAGAGAAGATCGAGAAAAAGATTAAGGAAAAGGGGCAAGGTTGGGTGCACTATTTCGCCGGAAATCTGCAAGTGAGTATTCCCTTAAATATTGCACCATTTTTGTGGACTGATGCGAGTACAGGGAAAATGTAGAAGTAATGTACCCGACGACGGCAGGAATGCAGTCACTTGGGGTATGTTTCCCGGGCAAGAAATCACTCAGACGACCATAATCGAGCGCGAATCTTTCCTGACGTGGAAGGTATGCGTTGTCTCCAGACTCATTCTGCCCATATTTGTACTGACAATATTAATGTAGGATGAAGCATTCTCTATCTGGGCTGAGTGGGCCTCTTTCTACCCACCAGGGTCCGAGGAAAGAGAGCTATTGAATTCTGTTCGCATGGAGCGGTGGCTAGTGAGCATTGTACATCATGACTACAAGAGACCAGACGCGCTATGGACATTCCTACTGGATGGAGAACTATGACGCGTGTGTTGGCATGTTCTAATTTGTTGGAATAGTTTTGTTTCTGCTAAGTCTGTTTACATAACTGGGGAAAATTACGATTAGCTAATGAAAATTCTGTAAATGAACCCGGCGAACCAGGTCTGAGCAGAAAGTGCGGGATTTGGCCAGTCTGCGTGAGGTCTATACAGACAAGTCACAGACTCTGTGTTAAAGTCTGGGGGACAGGTTTGCCAGCAGTTGTCCGGAAAGTGCCGGGAAGTCTATGTTTGTCTGCCCGCTGTATTATGTCATAATTTAGTGTCAGTCCCCCGCCATCTCGCCATCAGCCTCTCCCGCCATTTCACGTTGCCCGCCGTGCCTACAGACAACATATCATCGACTACAGCTCTACAGCCGCCAAGTATTCCAGGTGCCATCCTGCGGAATGTCATCAATCGGACTCGTCGTTGATCGCACCTACTGAAGTGTGACACAGGGGTGGCTGAAGTGCTGACGGGGTGGTTGATGTAGATGGCAGGGGTGGCTAGCCACTGACGGGGGTAGCTGATAGGATTAGTGTCACAGTGGCTGGCGTAGTGGCGGGAGTGATGATGCCAGACAACCCGGAGCTTGCCGACAAAACACACCCAGACGTGTCCCCCAGACTTTGAGGCGGAGTCTGCGCAGACTTAACACGGACCGGCCATTTCCTACATGCCCTCGGTCTGAGCAGGGCCGGCGTGCCCACGCAGAAGTCCAGAGTGTAACCGGGTTCAAAAGCTCAGTGCCTGTAAAATGCCTGGGCGTTCATCGTTCTACTTTGAGTTCCGCTATAATGCCTCGTTTGATCTCGATGTGGATCCCTAGCTCAATTCCAGGTGCCAGTTCAAGGGTTGAAACAAACTGGTCTTCAAGTGCTGGAGATCAACATGGTGTTCGACTCTCTGGAACGCTCGTACTTCCATATTGGAATCGCCATCAATTCTCTGGCCTTCTGGCAGCGGCGCCCTGGCAACCTTGCAAGTGCAGGATGAGTTCGCGTTTCCAACGATAGTCTGGAGCTCAGCACAAAAAATGCATCTGTTGGAAACATATTAGTAGCTGCCTTGCCCTGAGGGTGCGAATAGGCTGGTTAAAATCTTTGCAACCCTCTCTGTATCGGAGTCACTATTGTCGGTCTTGGTCTCTGGGTTCACTGAGTCCTTGGCTGGTGCAGCTACGGGTGAACGACGATAGCCGACACCATTTGCCGACTTAACCGTTTTCTACCTGGAGTTCAGAACGACAAATGGAACGAAAGTTCACCAAAACATACGAATAGTGGAGTGCCGCCCCCGTCGTTACTTGTTACGGCCTGGGTAGCCTGCTGCAAAATCTCTGAAATCCTCTCTGCATCGCAGTCGCCATATTAGCGGGTCCTACTTGTGAGGTTGCAGCTGTCACGGTTCAGTGGCAGGAATCTTACGCTATGCGCCCACCAACAACGATTATCAATTCCGTCATATATCCCCTTCCTCATCGATTTGTTTATAGACGTACTTCACAGGAATCACCACTCCGTATTTTCAGAGGCACCGCTGAATTAGGTATCCCCTCCAGGGCAGAAGATGGAACGTCAACGCCTGTAATGAGAACAGGCTTGCATCGGCGATACGGACATGGTGTTGGGCTATTCTCTGGACGAAATGTGACCTTGGCAGGTTATTCAACCGATGCTCCCTTGGTCCTACCATGCAGTTAAATCTTTGAATCTGGTCAAAACTTTTAAATTGATATTGCAAGTTGCGGACCGGTCCCGGTGTTGTGACGAATCGGTTTTCTACGGTGCGTTGTGGCGCATACCGTTGAAGTAACTCATTGGAGCAAGAAGCTTCGACTCATTACCCAAAAACACACACACTAGAGCTATCTCGACTATTAGGTGGCCGACTTATTCAATGGACGCCAGCGCATTGCCAGCACGGCCCTCTTCACAATGCATTGTTTAAATCCGTGGTAACTGCACGCTTGACATTCCTGCGAGCCATTGTCATTCTGCATAACTGCCCGGAAACCGCCATGTCTGCCTCCACAGGCTACTACCTAGAGGACGAGGAGAAATCTATCGCCAGGCTCGAAGATGCTCGAGATGTGTATGCGATCGAGGCAGCGCCAGATCGCGTGATCGTAAAGCGTTTTGGTAGATTAGGACCTTTTCTATCGAGACTCTTTGCAAGCGGTATCGAGGCCCGTGGAGTAGAGCGTGTGCCAGAAAACCAGCGAGAATCAAAAAATGCCTGGAATAAGTACGTATTCAAGTTTCATCGTATACTTGATCTGAGCCCAGTGTAGCATCCTGATGTGGTGGTCAGTCTGCATCACACGACCGATATTCTTTTACTTGACCTTTTTGTAGGTCCGTTAACACAGTGTTTGATATCATTCCCATCGGCGTGCTTGCACAGTCCACCTTTACTTTGAGTTTCGGGTAGGTCACTCGGCCGGGCACGGTGTCGCAACCACACTTATTCTCCTAAGTAATGCTGTAGCTACTATCCTCTGCTTTGGCGCTCTCGGGGCCGTCGCGACAGCATTTGTTGCTACCCTCGGCCCCATGACGGGCCTCCGTACCATGGTCATCACCCGTTTCAGCTCGGGATATCTCGGTTGTACCATCTACTCAGTCCTCAACATCCTCACGCAGTGCGTTTATTCTCCCTCGTTGTTTTCATATTTTGCTGAGAATTGTTTCAGGCTTGGCTTTGCCACAACGACTGTCATCCTCGGAGGTCAAACGCTGTCCAACATTAACCCTGGTACTCTTCCTTCCGTCGTTGGAATCATCATCATTGGCGTGTGCTCCCTCATCCCGTGCGTTGTTGGGTACAATATGGTGCACTTCTACGAGCGCTATGCATGGATAATTACCCTGATCAGCATGCTCTTCCTCTGTGGTCTTGGCGGAAAAGCTGGATATAACATCAACGCGCAAAAGCCGCTTCAAGAGGAAATGGGGCACGCCCTCACAGCAGACATTCTCAGCTTTGGTGGGATCGTATTCGGCTTATTTACTGGGGTGGGTTAAATCACCATTTGTATTTATCCGACGACTGCTAAATTGTCATGTAAACGGTTGCCAGTGGGCGCCAATTGCAGCGGACTTCAACTGTCGGCTGCCTGCTGATACATCACCCATGCGCGTGTTTCTACTCACTTTCTTCGGCTTGTTCATCCCTATCTGCTTTGTCACGATTCTCGGCGCCGCCCTCATGACCATCACAGACCCTGCATATGTCGCAGCGTTCGGAAGCGGCTCGACAGGCGGCCTCGTTGCGCAGGTCCTGTCGCCATTGGGTCACTTTGGCCAGTTCATCCTCGTCCTGCTCTTGCTTTCTGTCATGTAAGAATGAGGGAACGCCTTGCTTGTTCGCACTAAACCAGTTATAGTGCTAACAACATCCCAAATACTTATTCCGCTGGTTTGTCCATGCAGGCACTTGGACGCCCGTTCGCCATTATTCCGCGCTTCTTTTGGGTACTTCTAGCCTTCATGGCGTACACTGTAGCTGGCGTTGCAGGCCGCGAGCATTTTAGTACTATTCTTTCCAATTTCCTCAGAATTCTCAGCGACTGGACGGCATTCTTCATCGTGATCGTGGCTGAGGAACACTTCATCTTCCGGCGGAAAAACGGGCCGCTTGGTGGGTACAACTTGGATGATTACGATACGCCGTCGAAGTGAGTTCAGCTGCTAGTGGTTCTTCTGAATGAAGATCGTGACCTTACAATCCTCTCTTCACTTCTTAAGACTACCGGTGGGCGTAGCGGGTATACTTGCGGGGTGCTTTGGTGCCGCAGGTGCTGTCATTGGGATGTCTCAGGCGGGTCATCGGCACTGCATTAGTCCATCCATGTGCACCGACTCATCATTTTGTTCATAGGAGTTGTATACAGGTCCACTTGGAGAGATGGTAGGAGCAGAGATCGGGTTTGAGGTATGCATCATCTTTGGTTGTTTGGACATCGACTCGCTCACAAGATTCAAGCTCGCAGCAGTATTTTCAGCTGTAACTTACTTTCCGTTACGTGCACTTGAAATCAGGCTCACTGGTCGATGAATGGAAGGTATTCTAGTGCTGGTACGAAGGTCATAGCATATCTATGTGTGTAGTTTAAGTATTATAAGATAGACGGCCAGATTATCAGGTACAGCAAATAGAGGTGTTTCGAAACGTTGAGTGTAGGATCCCTTCTTAGCGTTGTTGGCAGAACCTGGTAGCTGGGGCAGAAGTTGGTAGAAGCCGAAAAGTGCTACAGGAGCACGCGTGAGAATGAAATTCAATGAATGAATATATGTACAGTTGTCGATGCAAATCCTAGTTATATCTAGTACCCGACTGACTTAGAACTACGTGTTCAAATTCACGGCTGAGCTAGCTAGTAAGTCTCAGGAAGCTCCCCGAAGCTGATTGAATTTTGGCCGCCTCGAAAATGTCCCTAACTCATGCATAGCAAATATTTCAAGTATACATTTTGTCCGCTTAATTTCCTCGACACGCGCTCACATCGAGAACCACGGCAACAATCTTCCGAAACAGTCGGGCCTAGCCCCGGCCTTACTGATGTCACTGATGCGGCAGTGCGGCCATACTTTGAGCTTAACAGTCACGTGTCGACATTGAGCGTGACAAGAAATGTCACGTCCTGACCTGATTGTGACAGACGCGCCTTTGAGACGCGACTAGTACATACCAACAACACAATGTCTCTCCCGGTACTCAACATACCCATTAATTACGATGATGAACTAGGTATGTTTGCTCGATAAATTAATGATGGAGCTAATATGTTCACAGATAAAATACAGAACTTTTTATCCACATATGTGGGCACACACAAGCAATGGGACGAGGGTTTTGCAGATATGGCACTCAGCGATGACGAGGATGATCAACAAGATGCTAGCAGGAAAGGTCTCAAATACATGCAGCAGCTTGTACGTGTGATGCAGGAATCGGGACGCGTCTTTACTCAACGTTTGATTCATCAGCAACGCATAGCAAATCGTGAGCAGCAAATGCTCACCATTGACATGGAAGATATCCACCAGGTACGAGATCTTCACATCTTCTTGATATCCTATACGTGATGATATTTTGTAAAGCACGAGAAAACGGTCGTTGAACTGGTATCTCGGATACGAAACAACACTCGGCGCTACGTCGCGCTTTTCAGCGAAGCCGTAGACAAGCTCATGCCGCCTCCAACCAAGGACATCAGTGAACATGATGAAGTAATCGATGTTATCCTACACCAAAGGCGAGAGCGGAATGAGCAGACTGAAGGCAGTCAAGAGGGCTTCCCCGACCATCTCTTGCGGCGATAGTACGTGGTGACATTGCCAATGTTCATTTGAGAGCTGACTTTCTATTCAAGCAATCTTTATTTCCAACCTCTTCGGTCCGACGTTGCTCTGGCCGTCCGAGAGGTCAAGGGAACCTATCTTGGCAGGTTGATCACTGTTCGGGGCATCGTTACCCGCGTGTCAGAAGTCAAACCACTGCTCCTTGTGAACGCCTACACTTGCGATGTTTGCGGTTCCGAAACATTTCAGCAGATATCCAGCAAAACTTTTTCTCCCATTACGGACTGTCCGAACGAACAGGAGTGCAAGAAGAACGGCATACGTGGCTCCCTCCACATGCAGACTCGAGCATGTCGATTTAGTCCTTTCCAAGAAGTTAAAATTCAAGAGATGGTGAGTCATAGACACCTGCTTTTGTATTGACATTAACAACTTCCAGGCCGACCAAGTGCCAGTAGGACACATACCTCGATCCATGACTATACATGTGCACGGCAACCTGACACGCCAAATGAACCCAGGTGATGTTGTCCACCTTGGGGGTATCTTCCTCCCAATTCCCTACACAGGATTCCAGGCCATCCGAGCTGGACTGCTCACAGACACCTACCTCGAAGGACACCACATCCACCAACTCAAGAAGCAATATAGCGAAATGGAGATGACGCCACAAATACAGGCACAGATCGCGGAGATGCAGGCAGACCCGTCGCTGTACAACAAGCTTGCCCAGAACATCGCGCCCGAAATATATGGACATACGGATGTGAAGAAAGCCTTGTTGCTGTTACTTGTGGGGGGTGTAACAAAGACGATGGGTGACGGGATGAAGATTCGTGGCGACCTCAATATATGCCTGATGGGTGATCCTGGTGTGGCCAAGTCGCAGCTACTGAAGTACATCTCGAAGATCGCTCCTCGAGGAGTCTACACCACGGGTAAAGGTTCATCAGGAGTTGGTCTTACAGCCGCGGTCATGAGAGACCCGGTTACCGATGAGATGGTTCTTGGTGAGTTCATTTCGGTCTTGCTTCAACACTCGGTCTGACAGTACTGAAGAGGGCGGTGCCCTGGTTCTCGCCGACAACGGCATTTGCTGCATCGACGAATTTGACAAGATGGAGGAAACAGACAGAACTGCGATTCACGAAGTCATGGAACAACAAACAATCTCCATCTCAAAAGCTGGAATATCGACGACTCTGAATGCTCGCACATCCATACTTGCGGCCGCGAACCCTCTGTATGGCCGGTATAACCCGAAAGTGTCGCCTGTTGAAAACATCAATCTGCCCGCTGCGCTCCTATCTCGTTTTGATCTTTTATTCCTCATCCTGGACAAACCGACTAGAGAAGACGATGAGCGACTGGCGCAACATGTGACCCATGTGCACATGTTCAACTGCCATCCAGAGCTTGAGTATGATGTTGTTGACCCTGTCCTTATGAGGTGAGCATGGGTGTTGAGGACATTTATTCCAATTTAACGAGCCTCTTGGCAGACACTACATCGCCCAAGCTCGCCAACGCCGTCCTACCGTTCCCTCAGACGTCTCCAGCTACATCGTCGACTCTTATGTCCGCCTTCGCAAGCTCTCGAAAGACGAGGCTGCACAAAAGAAATCCCATACTTACACTTCCGCACGTACGCTCCTCGGTGTGCTTCGTCTCGCACAATCTCTCGCACGCCTGCGCTTCGCAGACATCGTGCAGCGGGCTGATGTCGACGAAGCACTCAGGCTTATGGAGTGTAGCAAAGAGAGCCTGCACGATGATGATGACAAGGAGTACGAGCCTGATCGGTCGGTTGTCAGTCAGATCTTCAGGCTCATCAAAAGCATGTCGAACGAGGGCGGGAGGAAACGGAGAAAGAGACAGAAGAGGTTTGGTCGAGGCCCCGGCGGGGAACGCGAGATGGACGTCGACTCGGACGAAGAGGAGGACGATGGGGAAGAACTCGCTCTCATTGACGTTCGGTCCCGTGTGTTGGGTGCTGGATATACTGAGGCGCAGCTTAATGATACCATTGCGGAGGTGAGTATATACACGTATCTGATGACAAGGCTTTTCTGACACCTGTTTCCAGTATGAAGCTATCGATGTCTGGACACGTGTAGCAAATGGCGCAAAACTGCGCTTCATTCTTGATTAAGGCATCTTGTATAGGGCACTTACGCTGTGACTTTTCTATCGATCGATCCTTTTGTGAATGTAATATCTATTGTGCAAGTCTCCATGAAGTCTTTTGCGTCTCAAAGCTTCCGCGCTTGTCAACAATACACTGTGGGAAGTAAAAACACTGAAAATAAATGTAAAAAGCACTACATGACAAATATCAATGACGCAGACACTGAAAAAGGCAGCAGTTATTTTCAGTGTTCACGTGACCATCATGTCAATCAGTACTAAATACACTGACTAATCAAACCAAGCTTTTCAGTGTCGGTACTTTCAGTGGTGAAAACGCTGATTTGTTTTCTCAGCGTCTAAAGTACTGGTGATGTTCTCCATGACCGTAGGCCTCTACACATGGTCTCCATCCTCGTAAAGGAGTTTAAGTTTTCTGGTATTGTGCATGGTTTGGGACGTGCCTTTGAATGGGAACTCTTTTGCTGCCGGTCATGCAGGAATATGAAAAGGGAAAATCACCCTATGCACATTTGAGGCATGCCACTGCCAATTTGGGCAAACACATTTGTCACGTGATAGATACAAACAACACGTCAACAAAGGACTTCTTCGCAATCGTCCTTGGATTGGTCGCCTCTCCGTCCACTATACCAAAAACAAGGCCATTGAGAAGTTCAATAGGTGAGTTGAGCATGCTCTCGCAGCTAAGCACTATATACTCAGGCTATACTCTGTTTCTCCCCAACACTCCATCTTGAACAGTGCCTCTAGGAGTAAGCGCTACCTAATGAGCAATTTGTGTTATGGGACTCCCAGGGCCTCTCTCAAAAGGAGGGAACTGGTGCGTAATGATCGTTCATTCTTATTTTAAGGTGGACAAGTTAAAATTTGATGCATATACTCACTATAACTGCGCATATAGCCACTCAAAGGCCCACACCAGCACCATGCGCAAACGCCCAACGCACGCCAGCAAGTGCTGACGTGGCGCGAACACTCGCGGATGACACCAGGACGCCGAAGACACGAAAAGGACGAGAGGCGGCACTCATTCTTGCTCATCGCACTCTCATTCTCACTCGCACGCAGCGCTTGTAGACTCGGCTCTGGATGGGGAGTCACAGTGAGTGAGTCTGTCAATCCTCTCTCGAGCTCAAGCCATGCTGATCCAAGCTGTTCCCCGCCATTTGCAGTGAGTGAGTCTGTTGGTTTTCCTTCGAGCTCAAGCCACGCTGATCCAAGTTGCTGCCTGCCATTCGCAGTGAATGAGTGTGTCAATCCTCCTTTGACTGGAGCCATGCTTATCAAAGTCGTTGTCTGCCGTTCACAGGGTGTCGATCCTCTATCAAGTGTGAGCCATGCTGATTGATGTCGTTGCCCACTGTTCACAGTGTCTTAGTGAGTCCTTTTTTACCATCGTTTTTTTTTCACTCTTGTTTGTATTCCGACAGTTTCGGCGACATTCTCGCACGTTTGCGTTCATTTTATGCGAGCTCAAGACGACGCTGATATACTTCAAAAAGGCAACCGTCCTCCTTGCTACAAGTGGTGTTTTCGTCAGTACGAGCTTCATCACCTGCTCCATATTGTCTACTCTTTATATCTCTCACCCCCCAGCTTGTCCCAGAACTCATTCTCCGGCAACTCCACTGTAGGCTCAAGCTCAGCTGCGCTCAACAAGGGCAAGTGCGTAACATTGTGCGGTGCTCTCATCCGAGTCATCCCAGCAGATCCTACAAACCA